TTATCTGTAAGTCTGTGTCAACCACCAAGGAAGCACATTTCAGCTTTTTGTATTTAGGATCTTGTTTGTTCAGTTAAGATCTCTACCTCATACCATGAGTGTTATAATGTGGATGGAACAGTAAATCGAGAGCCTTGCCTTTCAGCTAAGTTCTTTCTTCATCTTTTTTTGATGTGATATTAGCTAAGAGTTATCCCCATTGCATACTCTGTAGGCTAACAAATCTCGCAAAGCAAAGTATTTAATTTTTTGGCATTAGCTATTTGGGTCAACTCTGCCTTTGTCAAAATATGTCAGGAAGAATTGGGTGAATTTAAAAAAATGAATTCAGAAAATCAAAAATAAATAAATAAATAAATAATMTTGAGCAAATCTTGAGCAAAATCAGTTCAAGAAGGCAGCCACAGCCAACAGACTTTTGAAACCCATAAATGGATATTCACATTCATTTTTATAGACATTGAAGTAGAAAATTAGGTATTAKCTTAGAGTCATTCTCCCAACCTACAGCCTGTTGTATGAGCGTGCTTAAAACTAGCATTAACTGTTGGGGAAAAACAAAATCATGAACCACTGGTCAGGTTTTAATTAAGCTTTTGTAAATTTATTATCGGATGAACATTTGATTAACTTTAACTAACTGAATCAATGATCAGATCTTTTATAGGGGCTCAGCTACTGTTGTAGCACCCCAAGTGTGAATCCAAACCAGTTTTCAGAAATTGCGGATGCTTGCCATTCTTCCTACTGTAGAAAGGCTGAGAAGCAACTGTATTCATTTAGAATTTCAGTAATTTAACAAGCAATTAGTCACAAAGCTTGTGCTTTGAGCACAGTTCAAACTAAATAAATACAAGTTCACATGTTAAATTAAAAGAGTTGTCAAATTTACGAGTCTAATTATCCTTGTTAAATTAACATGAGGATACATAATTGAAAAAAAAAAAAAACCTGAAGCAAACATTGAGTATTATCACCAGGTTATGTAGTCATTTAAGTTCTTACTCTGCATGCAGGACCTTTATTGAGTGTAAGCTCCGGTTCGGCGCTTTCTGCCTCTGTGGGACATAACTTAATTTATCTCGATCATCTCCACACAGGTACAATGTGTTAATGGCTGTCAAACAAAACTGCAGTGTTGTTGAGAGAAAATTAGCATCAGGTGACGCAGATATATAATAAATCAGTTAAACCACACTGCTGTGGCAGAAGCTGTCTTTGTGTTGCTGTAGAATGTTGCTGAAGCAGCTGGTTCTGTTTAACTGGGCTGTACATCATGAGCTGAAACTGAGCAAAGAAAGAATCAAACTTAAAAGAAAAACACTCACCAGAAATATAAAGATTTAGAGTAATTTTGCTGAGAGACATTTTCTTGCAGTATTTCTTTTTTAGCTAAAAAAAGTGCACTAAGTTGGCAAAAAAGCAGGAAAAAAAAAGAATGTTATCCTTGCTTTGATCATTGTGCTCCCACTTGTGCAATATTGCTGCAGCTCAGTATATGTGCTGAATGACTCTCAGCTATTACCATATACAGTTTTAGCTCAATTTCTGTAAAATTATTTAAATTATGGTCAATTTTGTGTTTGTTTATGTTTGCTTAGCTGTGGTGGTCATTTTACAATATACTGGCTTCAAAAGTTAATTAACTGAAGATGTACATCCGGTGATGATTTTCTAAAAGTTTCATTAAAATACATCCTGTAAATCTCAAGACATTTTGCTAACAAGAAAAACAAACACACATGCACAAAAACAATACTGTCTATGCCTTTGGCAGCAGGCAAAAAAGTCCCCTTCAACAAATGAGTCTATAAATAATAAATGTGTTCTATTCCAATTAGTGATATTTTGTTTCTGTTTTTATGTCTTTTATGACAACTTCTTTCTTAGCACAATTGTTTACAAATGTCTGAAAAACAACAACAATAATAACAA